GTAATAGTCATTTACCTGGTAACAGTTATCATCAGGAAGAGAGATGGGTGGCTAGAGTGGTGTCTGCTGTTTCAATAAAGCACGCTTTCCCAGAAGAGTCCATTAGGAATAAAACAAAACATACACTTTCAGTATTTGGTACTTTGCTTTATCAATCTGATAAACGCTTATAATCCAGTTATAACCTTAAAAGTTTGTCTGTGTTTTATGCCCCAACCAATGATGCTATGAGGCAGAATGCTTGAGTTATGTGAACAAACATATCCAATAAGTTTTTCTTCCAAATTTAATATTTATTTTTTTAAAGTTTTCTCCTTTAGACTTTTCAGTGGCTATTACTTTTAATTGTGGTAGTCATTCTTCCACTTCTATATGTCTCTGGGATTACTTTAGATGGCTGTGCATAGCCTAAGGCCACTGACTGCCACCCTTGCTTTAATTCTTGTGGCCTGAATCCAAGAATAGAAAAGAAACAAATGAAAAACAATTCAGTAGAAGGTGTTATCCTCAAAGCACAATTCAACCTTAATCTGGGAAAAAATTCACATGTGTAGAGCTGGTTTGGGATTTTAAAACATCAGATCTTAGCCATGGTCCTGGCCCTTGAAACATATTCCCCTTGAAAAATAAAACTTGAATGAGAGAAAAACTCATCGTCTATTTTATAGGGAAACTGACCTCAAAATATAAAGTGTTCATTGGTAGAAAACTTATTTCATAGTTATTGTGCTAATTAGCTATTCTTAATTTGTGATAATTGGGGGAGATATTTTAAAATTCTCTTTGTGCTTTTCACAAAAAGCAAGCAGGCATAATGTGATATCAATCATTGTTAAATATAAGAGTTTTGTTTTTTAAAAATGAAATAATAATTTTTTTGAATCCATGGACTGAAAGCTGTATCACAAGCACTTCTAATTGATTCATGTATGAACACCCTTATGCATATATTTTTATAGGTACATATATTCATATAATATAAGTTCCTAAAAGTTGGATTGCTAGGTCATAGTTATGTATAGTTTTAGTTATGACCCCATTACATCCTGAAAAATGCACAGCAACATACTCCCTGTCAATGTAATTCTTGTATTTGTATTATATGGGTATAATATGGTATACACAATTTCTGGATTCTACCTTCTCACTTAACATTAATTACAATTTTCTAGGTACTTCATACTTTCTGTAGTAATCTTATTTTGACTGCACATATCCATAAATGTTGCGAAGTGTCTTTATAATCTTATTGGAACTGCATCAAACCTCAATATTAATATGGGAAGAATTTATATCTACTCCCTATAATGTACGCCCAGAGAGAAATCAAAGCTTTGACAGTAGCATTAGATATAATAAAATCTATTACACATATGCCTCTCAACCCTTAATCAGCTGACATTAATTACATCTTTCGATGAGCACAAGAATTGATCAAATGATTCTCAATATCAAGAACTATGCCCAGGGCATATGATTCCATCACCACCTCAGTGACTTCAATCAAAGAAAAAAGATCATGAGATCACTCAAGAGCATACTAAGGCACTGGGCATTTCCTGAGTACGGTGAGCCAAGTTCCATGTGGTTCTTCTGGCATTAAAAGGGTCTATTTTGGGTCAAAGGTAAATGAAAGGGAACAAAACAGAAAGGAATCCCAGCACCAAGCCCCAAGGACACAACTTTGCAGGTTAGCACAACTAGAGTCCCTCAAGGTTTGAGGAAATATCGCATTCCACGAAGGGTTGAGAACATTCTACAGCAGTCTCCGTCATCAAAATAAAATACTGTAAAACCAATTCCAAGGTTGGGCATGGGAGAAACCATGAGAAGCCACCATTCGTTATCAGTATATTCTCTATTTGGTC